ACTTCTGCTTTTAAGTTGTGACGTCACCCACAAAATAAATCGTTTTACAGAGTGACTGAAACTTGTGTTCCAAATATAAAGAAAACTGAAGTATGTGCATGATGGTCAAAGAGATACACGTTGCGTAACATTTAGAAGATGACCACTGGACATATAAGTTAAATGTAGGTAGGACCCCTCAGCGAGTGAAGGTTACTGCACTTTAAAATTGTTACTGGCGTGCAAAACAGATTTGCTCTCCATGTCACATGATCTCTAAAACATGCGTTACTTCCAGGATGTCGTGGAGAACAAACTGGACACCAAAGAGTGGCCGCACCAGTCCGAGTGTCCTGCTGCCTGGAATGGCTCCGGGGCTGTGAGGTGGGTTTTTGTTAGTGACCAGGCTGGAACTGGGCTGCTGTTTTGGTTTCTTTCTAACTGAAGAATATACAGTTTAACAACCCTACAGTTTTGTGTTGTTGTGTCACTTAGTTATGCTTATACAGTCAGTCTGTGTGATTTATCTCTCCACATCCACTTTCTGTTTCTTAGAGGGTTGATTGAGGTGAATGAGGTCGATTTTCCAGTTTCAGCAGTAAGAAGCAGCGTCTGCTTTTTCTTCCTTAAGGCTCTCTCAGTTAATATTTCCGATGCCCCTCCTTCTTCTCCACAGCGCACGGCAGAAGCACAGAGGCAGCACTCAGGATGACCGCCGGACTGGCTCACGTCTCATCATCTTTGTTATAGGAGGGATCAGCTTCTCTGAGATGCGCTGCGCCTACGAGGTCACCAGGGCAATGAAATCCTGCGAGGTCATCATTGGTAAGATTCAGTGCAAGGAAACAGCTGGACAATGCTTCGTACCAAACAGGCGCGCAGAAAGTCAGAATGCTGGGAAATATTAGCTTGCAGCACATGAACTAAGGAGAGCTATGATTGTGACGATTATCAGGAAGGTTCCACTGAGTTTTAAGATTACACTTATACGTTATTTCCTGCTGTTTTACACCCCCTACTGGAGCAGAGTGGAATTATGACAGGACTTTTCTTTTGTTTGTTTGTTTGTTTGTTTTTAATGCAATTTATTTATCTTTATCCAATACAGGGTCTTCCCACATTTTGACCCCCACCGTTCTCCTGGATGACATCAAGGCCCTGAGCAAAGGACCCATGGAAAGCTTCACACTAGAGGTCGAGACCAAAGCTTGAGAAGTTCGGCCTCCACCCCGCTTGTTTCTCTACATCCCTTATCACTCAGCACAGCACACTTATCTTAACTTCCTCAGTGGAATTGTGAAGGGAATTTCCTTACAGTCATTTAAATAGCTTTTCAATCCAAGCCCATGTTTATAGTGCAAGGTATGAGATGCAGATTTTCCACATGAAGACCTAAGAACATGGTGCAATTATGATATTGTGATTTGAACATTTGGATTGTATTTAAATACTAACTGATCTCATCCTACTATAACCCGTCTGTTTGTTTGTCTTAAAAAAATATGATAATGTTACAAGTTGAAAGGCTTCTAAGAGAAACCTTGAGAAACAGAAAAGTGGTGCAAAGTCGCACATCACTGATGTATATATGTATGTAAGCACTGAGCCCCTGCTATGCCATTTTGACTTTTTCACCTCTGTTCATAAACACTTTAATGACTTTTGAAGACTATTTTTAACATT